ACGTTATAAAATATTATATATATTATTATAGAATATTAAATAAATATAATATAATTTATAACTATACTATAAATTAATTATTATATTATTATAATATTTTTATTGTATATTATATTATATTACATATTATAAGATATAACTACTATATAATATATTTTAATTATATTATAATATTGAAGGGTAATTATAGAAAAAAATAAAGAAAATAACTTGAAATGGCTATTCCTCTCATGTGAGGAATGAATGACGATTCACCCAAAATGGGTGAATGACCATTCTTTTTGAATTCTATTCCTTTCCTTTCCACCAAACCAAACACACCCTAAAGGAAACACTCTAGGAATTCTCTATTGCTCTGCTAGGGTTTGGTTCTCCTTCTTTTCTTTTGTGCCGCTTCAATTGTAGGCTTCACAAGATTAAAGTCCGACGCCGCCGTAGGGCGATGCCCCGGACTCGTGGCCTCGAGGGAGGGTCACCAGATGCGGCGGCTTGGATCTCTCTGGGAAGGCGTCGTCGAGTTCGTGGGTGGGGAGGGATGAGCTGTGGGAGGGGGCAATTGACGCGGCATCCGTTTGGCTGCCGTCCTTGGGAGCATCCTTGCTCTAGTAAATCTAAGCCCCTCGGGGTTTGGCTCCCTCAAATTGGCGATTCCTTCAAGGGGACTAGTGGTTGGTTTGGCAATCGGAGTTGACAACAGAGGAGGTGGGCTGGGTGTCTTATTCGAGTAGCGTGTTGTGCTGCAATTATCTTGCCCATCCGTGGTGGTGCTCGGCGTGTCATCGAAGTCTCTGCCGGTGTCTTTTGGTATTTACTCTCTTGTTTTAATTTGTGTGTTTGTAATAAGGTATTGATATTTCCACCGTTCTGTTTTAGTTTATTTAAATTTCTTTGTTGGTTGTCGGCGTGTGTTTGGTCTTGTGTTGTAATAATGGAGGTAGTTTTCCCATCCTCTGGCTGTATGTCTCGTTATGGGGGTTGGCAATATACCTTTGAAATCGTGAAAGTTTATCTCAATGAAAAGGATTCTTCTACTAAAGCCTTGGCTGTGCTCGTTAGTAGTGTGCCGATGTGTTCTCATATTTTCGGGCCTCAAGCATGCCTTTGTTCACTTATTAGGTCATTAGTGTTGTCATATGCATTTGTATCTGATGTGTTTGTAAATGCCAATTATCTAATAACAATGCAGCTTTTTGTTTAAAAAAAAAAGGAAAAAAAATAAATAAGGATGCTTTTTTTTTTTTGAAAATGATAAGGACCGTTATTTTCCTCCCTTCTCTCTTTTTTGAAGTTTCATAAAATATAGATACCAAAAAAACAAAAAAACTTACATATATACATGTATATATAGATGTACCTACTTTACAATTTGATCCTTTTTTTAATATTGGGTGGGGGGTAAAGATTCAATTTTGGACAATTCATTAGATTCCTTTCACATTTACTTATTTTTTATTCAAAATGGATTGTAGTGTAATGTAAAATTAAAGATGATCTTGTTACCCTCTTTTCCCCTTGTTTCTAACACATTTGTTGGTGTAAAGAAGACAACTGACCAACATAGCGAAGCATTCTAATAAATAAAATAAGACAAGCCAACTCCAGCACCTAATAATTGCTAATATAGAGAGCAATTTTGCAATCCTTTTTTGACCGGCCTCTCCTTCGGGGATAAGGCCGCGTACATATGAGATTGAACTTTCTCCCGAACCTGTCATAGTATAGGAGCCTCTTTGACACTGTGGTCCGCCTTTTTATAGAGAACAATTTTGCAATCCTTTTTCCACCCAAATGTGTCAGCTCTGCTTTGTGATAGAGAAAGAGGAACTGAATCAGCCTCTTTCTCTTTCGTTATTTATTTTACAAAGAAGTTAACAATTAACAGAGAAATATAAAGCTAGAAACAGCTATCTTATTCTATTCTTGAATAAAAATTCCACATCATTGGGATGATCAGGCTTCCTCCTCGCAGTAATTGGAATAAGTGCGCCATCCCCAAGCATGCGTTGCAATACTCTCGAGATGTTCTTCGTGTCATCAAATCCAAGATGGTGACTTCCCACCAACGGTATATCGAGCTCCTTCATCATTGTCACCATTCCCGTAGCCTGTCATCCACAACAAAGCAAACATATTACAGACAGAAGCCTAACTGAAACCTGATTAAGAATATGAGGTTTATTCTTTAACTGTTATTTCAGACCAACTTTAGAACTTGATAAAACCACATCATAAGTTAGCTCAGTTCATGGACATTATTCGTCTCTAATTCTATTAGTTGAGGAAAATTTAACTTCAACGACAACTTTGTTCTGCACACGGTCATTTGGTGTGCTTACACATCACTACTGATGATGATATGAAGTGGGGAAATAGCACTACTATTTCTCCAGCGGCCGTCTCACGTTTAACATTGGCACATAATGCAATCTGTTCGGACAAGAACACACCAATGAAATTTTACTGGCAGGAAATTAACTATACGAACTAACCCTCCTCTTGTAGAAATTAAGGTACACATCTTTGAGATTGATCCATTCCATAAAATATGATGGAAGCTTCATCTTTGACACTTTGCACTGCTGAGGGACCTTTGTCTTCAAATCCCAGTTTCCACTGACACAAAAAAGAACCAATTCAGCAACTTCTAAAAGTTCTTTACAATTTTCATCCCAATTGTAGCATAAAGGAATTTTAAATTCAGTTAAAACTAAAAGCAGTAATGCCATATTATGGACACCATAGAAAGCAAAAGGAAGAAAACATGTAATGAGGATGATAGCTGGTGCAAATAAAAACTAATTATTGAAAACAAGAATAATCAAACTAACCAAGTTACAAATGCAGCTCTATTTAGAGACCCACTTGCATGTTTTTCCCACAAGTGATGATGAGTCAACCAGTCTTCAAATTGCTGAAGAACATCCTTAAATGGTATAGCTGTATCATGCCAGACACTGCCAATTTTTAATATGTTATATCAATCTTCTTGTAGAATACAGCAGAAAACTAAAGCCATTTTCAGTAAGTGACAACTTAAGCCATAGACCACATAGTCCAAAGATACATGGAACAACATTAATTTCAAAACGGAAAACACAACGTTTGCCCCTCTTATTATATAAATGTCTGAAGTATTGAAATTTGATGTCAAGTTTAGCTTCACACAAATATGAGAGAGGTTTGTCCCTGCAATTGGCAGTATGAGAGTAGTCTATCGATCATTCAGACGTCACTTTGTAATTTGTATTGTTGATTCATAAATCTAGTGGAATCAGAAAATGAAAACCAAAACTCTTTCTTTATCAATTGTTTGAAAAACTGTATCATTTATAGGTGATTTAGTTTTTTGACCCTCTATAAAAATTAATTTCTAAAATAAAAGAAACAAAGTTGTACTTAGTGCATACCGATGGACTCCAAATTTTCCATACTTTCCTTCAATATACTCATTTATTCTTTGTTCAGTCATTTCTGAGGGCCTCACAAACCTGAAAGTGAATAAGGACATCAATAATGAACCAATATTGTAGTGAAATTAATCAAAAAAAAAAAAAAAAGGCAACAAAACTCAGCAGCAAAAACAGGGGGGAAAAATGCATTGGAATGTACAATAATGACTCTGCGAGAACAAAGTGAACCTATGAAAAAAGTCGACAACTTCCATAGTTTTGGCATCAATCATCAACACTGGGAACTCAAGAATTTCAACCTTGCCCTCCAAATCCAACACAAGAAAGAAATCCAAATTCTGAGAACAGGTTCTATTTAACTTGGAAGCATCAACTTGAAGATCCCAGGAGCGGTTATGGTTGAACTTCTCCAGGTGCATATGATCATCCATCTACAATGAAAAGGACTCAAAACGAAATTCTAGTACAGATAATGATAATAAAACTTTTTCTAAGAAAGGAAAAATGAATTGGGGGGGTCTAGCCAATCAAAGAGTCCATGGGCACATGTTCAATACCTCCATTTACATGTTAAAAAACACTCCCATAGATCACAACAACAAAAAGAATTAGAAATCTTATACTGTCTTGATTTGACGTTACGAGTCCATAGACTTTTGAGTATCATACAATAAAGCAAACAGAATATGTGCATAAAAGTAAAGGCTTCCCACCCATCGCCACCACACACAAAGCAAACACTTAAAAAACCGAAACGACAACTAAAAGACAACTGATTATGTCCTATGAAACAAAAGGGTATCTGAAAATTTGGTTAAAACGACATTACCATGGTGCACTTTCCTTGGGTGTAGTACAAACACATGGGCTTCCAACGGGGGGTTTCGTTCGTCTTTGATGTGTGTTGGGTTTGGGAAGCTGAGACAAAGGTAGTGATGGAACTGAGAGAACGCCATGGAAGAGGGACGGAGGAGATGGGCAAAGAGAAAGAGATGGGTGGGAATGGAGAGAAAGCTTTGGAGCAAAGTGGAGAAACTCTACATAGAGGAACTCTGGTGAATCTCATGTTGTGCTTTTGACTGCTAAGGAAGAGGAGATACTTTGGTAACCAACACAATCAAAGCCAATATATTCTTTTTGTTATTAATGTAAATTAATAATAAAAAAGAAAACCGGACTAAAAAAAAAAATTATAAGTTGTTATTGAATCTCTGATATAAGATTTATAAGATCATGAATTCATAATTATTTTTTATAAAAAAATATTATAAAAAAATATAAATTATGATTTAAATTATGGTATGAATTATTATTCTAAACGTATCCTTAAAGTTTTTTTTAAAAAAGCTTCATTGTGGCTTCGAGTGAAATTTTTTTAAAGGGTTAAAACTCTTCTAAAAGTCTATTATTTTTTTGAATTTTTCTAAAAAGTCATTCAAACACTATAAAAAAACAAATAACTTTTGGATCCACGAAGCTAAAAACATCTTCCATAAAACAAATTAACTAAAGCTGACATTGTTTTTAAAAGCGGCTTTTATATTATAAACAGGTTGGTTTAGGTCAATTTTAGTTAGGAAAGGCAACTCTGATATTCCTATTGATATGAAGTTATGAAAATGACTATGCTCAAACCAAACTCTTTTTAAGACTTTTTTAGTTCATTAATTTGAGTTTTTAATTTGAGTTGAGATGTGATTTTTGGCACCGTTCATTTCACCGATTTAAATTTAAAATTTGAGTTTTGCTACAGTAAAAAGCTCTCAGAATCAGTCACATCTAACTTTTTTACTGCAGTAAAAAGTTCTCACATAAAGTCACATCTCAACTCGAATTAGCGAACTGAACGGGCCCTTTATGTGAGAGTTTTTTACTGTAGCAAAAAAATTAGATGTGACTGTTTAGAAGAACTTTTTACTGTAACTAAACTCGAATCAGTGAAATGAACAAGGCCTTAATTGTGCGATGATCCAAATTGCTACTCCATAGTCTAAATTGACAATCTTTATTGAAAAAACTAGTTAGAGCTGATTATAATAAAAGGTGCAAAAAATGAGCTTCTAATGATTAATTGGGAAAAATAAAAAACTACAATACTAAGGTTGTGTTTGGAATTAGTTCCAAAATGATTTTATTTTCTGCATAAAAATGGAAATGAAAACGTTTTCATTTTCATTTTGAAATTATTTCTAAAAATGCGTTTGGTAGTTTTATTTAGAGATTGATTTTAAGTTTAAGAAAAATTAAAACTGCGTTTGGTGGTTTAATTTTTTATTTCAGTTTTTTTAAATTGTCAAAGTTAGAATTTAGTTGCAACACTTGTCATCAAGCTAGAAAAATGCCAAACCACCTACATATTAACTAATGACTCAGCCACCAACCACCGTTTAACACCACCAATTTTTTTACTCCTCAGCAACCACCGTTTAACACCACCAATTTTTTTACTCCTCAGCAGCTTATGACCAGAAAAAAAAAATCTCTACTCAAACTTCTTCTCCTCTCTCTAAAGTAGAAGACATAAGAGTAAGGGTTTGAGCTAGAAAATTCGGACCTAAGAGAAACCTCCTAGAAAACCATGATTTTTCTTGACAAATTCTAAGTTTAAACCCAAATTTAAGAGGCCAACTTGTACAGCAGTCAAGGTAAGGTGTTCTTCTTGTATTAGAACGGTTTTTTCGTGCCTTTGATGAATTTTTTATGGGTTATGTGTTTATGGGCTGATTAGAGATGTCTTTGTAAAAATGCGACAACCTTAGAACGGAGAAGTTGGGGGTCGTCTCAGAACGGAGAAGAGCGGGGTCGAGGGAGATCGGAGACTTCGGAGAAGATAGAGGGTCGAGGAAACAGAAGAAGAATGGGAAGAGGAAAATGAAGGACACGGCAGAAAATGGGAAACGATGGAGAAAGAGGCGGAGGCTGGCGAAAGAGGCGGAGGCCGGCAAAAGAGGCGGAGTAAGAGGCGATGAGAGATTGGGGAAGGTTCTGAGAACTTTTAGAAGAATGGGAAGAGGAAGAGGACACGGTAGAAAATGGGAAGGAAAACGAAAACGGAGGAGAAAATGAAAATGACTTTTTTGCGTTTTCAGATTCTTCAGAAAACGACAAAAACGATTTTGTTTTTGTTTTTTCAAACATTTTGCACCAAACACGTTTTTCACCCGCGTTTTCAATTTTTAGCCTCGAAAAACGTAAAAAATGAAAACGAAAACAGAAACAAACAGGGCCTAAAAGTTATTAAAATTGGAGTTAGAGGCTTAGCCTGATAATAACTCCATACCTAGTTTTAATATTAAGGTCTAAAGTTAAAATCGAAGCTCCAGGAGATAAGTAACTAAAATTAAAGACATTGCTATCTTCAAAAATCCCTTCCTTGACATCTTCAAAGTTTGTGAGAGTTGGGAGAGCCGACCTTTCCAAATTCAATCGACACATTGTTGCAAGGTCTAAGATCAAAATATTAATGCTAATTACATATTTATTATCAAAAATTAAGATATGATATATTATTTTTATTTTATTCTAATGCATAATGCAATTTAAAAGGTTAAATATTTTTTTTTTCGTAATCATGGAGACGTTTGGTAAGGGGATTCATAGTAAGAATGGTTCAAAAATTTCTTATTGATCACTGAAATTTACAGGCTATAAATAGCCGAATACAAGAGAAAGAAAATAGGAAAGAAAAAGTAAAAACAGGAAAGAATAAAATACATCTAACTTTCCTAATTCACAATCTTTGACTATTCTACGTGAAAGAAAGAAGGAACAAATCTGCCTATTTACATCAAACATAAAACTGGAAAGTTGACTAATCCTATGAGAATATTTTGTGTATTTTAACACTCCCCCTCAAGCTGGATGGAGAATATCTTCCATATACAGCTTGCTAATTAGTCTATCAAATTGTTTCTTGTGAAATCCTTTTGTGAAAACATCAGCAACTTGATCAGTTGTGGGAATGTATGTCATGCAAATTTATCCACTGTCAAGTTTCTCTTTGATAAAATGTCTATCCACTTCTACATGCTTTGTTCTATCATGTAGAACTGGATTGTGTGCAATAGAAATTGCTGCTTTATTGTCGCAATATACTTTCATAGGTGAGACCTCTGCCAGTTTCAAATCCTCCAAAAGTCTTCTAATCTCATATTACTTCACAAATTCCATGAGCAAGGGACCTAAACTTGGCTTCAGCACTACTTCTCGCAACGACATTCTGTTTCTTGCTTCGCCAAGTAACTAAATTCCCACCAACAAAAGTACAGTAGCCCGGTGTTGATCTTCTATCAATTGAACTTCCAGCCCAGTCAGCATCTATGTATACCTCAATTTACAAGTGTCCCTGCCTTTTAAATAACAATCCTTTCCCAGGAGTTCCCTTTAGGTACCTTAGAATTCGATACACGGCATCAAAGTGTTCTTTCCCAGGTGAATGCATAAACTGGCTTACCAAACTTACTACAAATGCAATATCTGGGCGTGTATGAGCCAAATATATTAGTCTTCCAATGAGTCTCTGATATTGCTCCCTGTTCACCATTTCTTCTTCTTTGGCCGGTTGTAGTTTTAAGTTTGGTTCAAGGGGTGTCTCGATTGCCTTGCAACCTAACATGCCTATTTCACTAAGTAAGTCAAGTATATATTTGCGTTGATTGACGAATATACCTTCCTTAGACCTAGCAAACTCCATTCCAAGGAAATACTTCACCGTCCCTAAGTCTTTGATTTCAAACTCAGATGCAAGTTTCTTCTTCAAGGTTCCTAACTCTGCATCATAATTTCTTGTTAGGATTATATCATCCACATAAACAATTAGAATAGCAATCTTATTGCCAGCCGAGTGTTTATATAACATAGTATGATCCGCTTGGCTCTGGGAGTAGCCATAACTCCTTACAGCTTGTCCAAAATGTTCGAACCATGCTCTAGGGGACTGTTTCAGTTCATACAAAGACTTCTTCAACTTACATACTTTATTCTTCCTGAATTCTTCTTCAAAACCAGGAGGTAGACTCATGAACACCTCTTCTTCTAAGTCTCCATTTAAGAATGCATTTTTTACATCCAACTGATACAATGGCCAACAATTATTCACGGCTAGGGACAGTAGAACCCGAATAGAGTTTATCTTTGCAACTGGAGCAAATGTCTCCTGATAATCTATTCCATAGGTTTGTGTAAACCCCTTTGCCACTAGTCTTGCCTTATATCTTTCTACACTGCCATCAGCCTTACATTTTACTGTAAATACCCACTTACACCCCACAGTCTTCTTATCACTTGTCAAATCAACGATCTCCCAAGTCACATTCCTTTTGAGCGCATTCATTTCCTCCATGACTGCTAATCTCCAATTCTGATCATCTAGTGCTTCCTGGATATTTCTAGGAACAAACAGGTGAGAGATTTTTGAAAGAAATGCTCTATGATTATAAGAAAGCCTGTGATAGGATAAATAATTGGCAATGGGGTGATGAGTACAATTTTGGACTCCTTTTCTAATGGCAATAGGAATACTAAGATCTGACAACTCATTTGAAGGAATATGAGATGAATTTGAAGGAAGAGGAATAAAATTACCTGAAGAATCTCTTGGACCATCACTCAGATCTGGTTGGTCTGATGCTGGAGCAGATTGGTCTTTATTACTCCTTTGAGTTTTTCTCCTAGTATAAACCAGAAGCTCGGGAGGATTTTGATTCTATAGTATTTCTCCTTCAGCATGTTCATTGTTTATGCTTGGGGATGATAGAATAGGATTTCCTTTATTTCCAAGATCCTGAACAAGTTTTTCCTGACTAGTGGTTTCAGATGGCAAAATGATTGATTTAGAAATTATATTCGGTAATGGAGTAAAAGTGTTCCAAAAATCAGTTTCTTCTTCTTCTTCTCTCTCTCTCTCTCTCTCTCTCTCTCCCCTGAAGATAATTTCTGCTTAAGTAGGGTCGGTTTTCCACAAAAGAAACGTCCATACTTACATAGGTTTTCCTAGTTTTAGGGTTATAACACTTATATCCCTTCTTGTTTGGAGCATAACCTATGAATAGACATTTTTCAGCCCTTGGATCAAATTTTGAGTGAGTTTTTTGGGGTATATGAACATAAATTGTACAGCCAAAGACCTTTATTGGTAAATATGAATGTATCCTACATTCTGGAAAAATACGTTTAAAGCATTCTAAAGGTGTAGTATATTTTAAGACTCGGGTAGGCATCCTATTTATTAGATATGATGCGGTTAGAACCGCCTCTCCCCACAAATATTTTGGGTGCATAGTGAACATTATGGCACGGGCAACCTCAAGTAAATGTTTATTCTTTCTTTCGACAATCCCATTTTGTTTAGGAGTATCTACACACATAGATTGATGGTGAATCCCATTTTCCTTTAAAAAAACTGCCCACATATTCATTGTAGTATTCTGTTCCATTATCAGTTCTTAGGATGCTTATTTTTGTTTGAAATTGATTTTCAATCATATTGTAAAATTCCTTAAACAATTTTCCTACCTCAGATTTTTCGTTCATCAAATATATCCAGCATAATCTTGTATGATCATCTATAAAAGTTACAAACTATTTTTTCCTGATGAAGTTGTTACCTTTGAAGGCCCCCATACATCACTATGCATAAGATAAAATGGTTTAGAAGGTTGATAAGGCTTAGTAACATAAGTGGACTTATGACTTTTAGATAAATAACAACTTTCACAATAGAGAGATGAACAATTCAATTTTTTGAATAATTGAGGAAACAAATGATTAAGGTATGAAAAACTAGGATGTCCTAGTCTATAATACCAAAGGATAATTTGTTCATAAACAGAATTTGAACTAATACTACTAAGACCTTGAGCCTTTTTATTACTGGAGAATTCTTCATCGAAGTAATAAAGCCCATCTCTCATCCTAGCACTGTCAATCATCTTCCCCGAGTTCCGGTCCTGAAATTTACAACAAGAGTCAAAGAATACAACATGACAGTTAGAATCTTTAGATATTTTACTGACAGACAAAAGATTGAAGGCAAGTTTAGTAACATGAAGTACAGACTTAAGGTCTATATTTCTTGAGAGTTTAATAGAGCCTTTCCCTGCAATAGATGAGAAACTACTGTCTGCAATTCAAATTTTTTCATTACCAGAACAAGGAAAATATGTAGTGAATAAGTGTGAGACACTGGTCATGTGATCGGTAGCTCCTGAATTAATTATCCAAGGAGAGGAATTGAAACTTGTGCAATAAGAAAAAACATTACCTGTTTAGGCCAAGGAAACATTAGGAGTACCAGAGGAGGATGAATTAGGTTTTAGCAGTTTCAAGAGGAAATCAATTTGCTCTTTGTTGAATGTCTCGGTTGCATTGGCTGAGGAGAGTGCATGGCTGGTTTTTTCCCCGGGTCTATTGCCTTTCAAATTTGCTGGTTTTCCATGAAGCTTCTAGCAAGTTTCTCGGGTATAACGTGGTTTGTTGCAATAATCACACCATGCTCGAGATTTTTCATCGAACTGCCGCTGGTTTTGGTTGTATGATGACTTGTTCGCAGCTTGATTTCCGGCTGGGGTTTTGGATTCTTCCGCAGTGAGAGCAGTTGATTCAGTTGGGTTCACAACTGCCTTTTTTCCCAACATGACATGACGCTTGGTCTCCACCCTTCTGACTTCCGAGAAAACTTCTCCAATAGAGGGAAGAGGCTTTCTTCCAAGGATTCTCCCCCTTACTTTATCAAACTCGACATTAAGACCTGCCAAAACCTTAAAAACTCTACCATTCTCTATAGTTTTCTTGTGATGGTTACAATCCTCCAGACTTTTCCATTCATAATCATTAAACAAATCTAAGTCCTGCCAAAGACCCTTAAGGATATTAAAATACCTAGACACACTCTCTTCTCCTTGCCGAGCCTCTTCAATCTTCTGTTGGAGTTCAAACATTTGTGAATAATTACCAAGGGCTGAATACATCTCAACCACACTGTCCCATAGTTCTTTTGCAGTATAATAGCACATGTAATTTGCACTGATTTCCTCATCCATGGAGTTCACCAGCAGGCCATAATCATTAAGTTTTCTGCATCCCATGTTGCATATGCCAGATCAGTATTCTTAGGAGCTTGAGTTTCACTTGTCAAGTAAACTATTTTTCCTCTTCCCTGGATGTACATTCGAACGGATTGGGACCAACGCAAGAAATTTCTCTCATTAAGACGAATAGTGGTGATTTGCACCGAATGGGAATAATGGTGCAACAGTCGGGTTTGATTGGTTTTCGTGGAAGAAATTGAAGAAGATTAAGAGGTTGTTTCGGACATGGTAAACAACAAAGAGAGGGAAAAGAAAAAGGTGCCAGTGATCACGAAAAAATAATTTCAGTGATGGAGGCTGAAACGAAGAAGGCCAAATATTGGCTCTGATACCATGAAGAAAGAATGGTTCAAAACTTTCTTATTGATCACTGAAATTTACAGGCTATAAATAGCCGAATACAAGAGAAAGAAAACAAGAAAGAAAAAGTAAAAACAGGAAAGAATAAAATACATCTAACTTTTCTAATTCTAACTTTTCTAATTCACAATCTTTGACTATTCTACATGAAACAAAGAAGGAAACAAATCTGCCTATTTACATCAAACATAAAACTGGAAAGTTGATTAATCCTATGAGAATATTTTGTGTATTTCAACAGGGGATTCATATCATGATTTGAATCATGGTTCATGATTCACTATAGTGTTTTCTCTCACAAAAAATCACGTAAATCGAAAATAATTCTAATCCATGAACCAAACGTCTCTTTAAATTTTAAAAGTTGTAAAAGTAAACTATTATTTTTAAAAGGATAAATTGCACAGATGGTTCCTAAACTCTTTAATAAGTAATAGTTTAGTCCATAATTTTTTTTTTTGACAAAACGACCCACAAACTCTTTAAACGGGTGCAATTTAATTATTTTCGTCAAATTCCGTTAAATTTTTAACAAATTTCTGCATGTGAACATCATGTGTCTTTTTCAATGAAAAGACAAAAATGCCATAAGGGCCTTCTTCTTCCTCAACTTTCACAGAAACCAAGAAAATTTGAAAACTTCAGCTTCCACAGCCATTCTCAAAGAAAACTTCAGTAATTTCACTTGGGAAATTTATCGAACACTTAGGACATGTTTAGTTTACTAATTCGAGTTTTAATTCGAATTGATATGTGACTTTATATGAGAGTTTTTACTATAATAAAAAAGTTAAATGTGACTGTTTCTGAGAGTTTTTCACTGTAACAAAACTCAAATTCTAAACTCGAATCAGTGAAATGAACATGGCCTTAGAGTGCATTCTGTTAAATAAATAAATAAAACAAGGTAAAAAATCAAAAGGCACTAAATTTACTTTTCATTTCGAAATCCCATAACCCAATTGCATTTACCAAACAGAAATTTTCTAGGAAAATCCAAACTAAATCAGGGTTTTGTAGAAAAGATTGAATTTTGATATTTCCTTTAGCCTTTTTGCTTTAACCCAAACCATGATTTGCTCCGTCAAGCAATTCTCGCCGGCCAGCGTCTTTCTCCGGCCGAAACCCTTTGGATCAAATTCGGCGAATTTTTGGCCTAAGCTGTCGCAACCCATCCCCATTCACCACTGTGGAACCCAAGACCAGCCGACCCATTCCCTACTCGTTATCCTCCCCTTCGCAGCCATCGCTACCCAGGCCTAATTTCCCACTTCCCTCTGCAGCAGCTCCCTTCGGCAACTGAGCCCCACCGCGCCACGAATACGTTTGGTGTGATTTTGGGTTTTGCAGTTAAATCGATGGAGTCAGGATCAAAATCAAAATGGGTTTTCACTAATTTTTTGAATGGATGTTGCGTGAGTTGTTGATTTTTTTTCTGGGTGTTGCAAAGAGAGAGAGACGAGGGGAAGAGAACCCATAAATTTCTGGGTTTTTTCTTTTATTATTATTTTTCCTTAACAAGAGAAAAGACCAGGGAATTCGAGGAAGAATAAGAAGAGTAATTAAGGGCAATTTTGTCTTTCCACCATAAACATGGGTCACGTGCATTGTCCCGTTACTTTTCGGACGAAAAGGATCAAATTGTACTAGTTTAACGAGTTTGAGAGTTATTTTGTCAAAAAAAAAAAATTAAGAACTAAATTGTCACTTATTAAAGAATTTGAAGACCATCTATGCAATTTACTCTTTTTAAAATACGTAAATTTTTCTGGTGTTTCCTCTTTTTTAGAAACACCGGCATTTACTGCTTATCAACTATCAAATTTCTATTCTTTTTCAATCTAATTTGAATTTTGACCAAATTTAATACAGATTCGACAGCTAATAAATAAGGAACACCAGTGTTCCTAAAAAAAAGAACACTAAAGAAAGTGTCTTAAAATAATTAAAAAAATGAAAAAATTGCAATGATTAAATGAAAAGGAAATATTTTAACCGAAAGCAATCAATGTCAAATTTCACACATGTTATACTTAGTGAGAAATTTACCATAAAATATACTATATGAAAAATTTGACATAACAAATAACATTACATTAGAAAGTGTTTTTATACTTAAATGTTAAATTTGTAATTGACACGTCAATTATAGCATTGATGCTCTAGAACTCTGAGAAAAGTTTTAAAATTTTCCCTATTAATAATGACATTTTTAACATATCCTTGCGCAGGATACCAACTATAATCAACTGAAAACATTTGAACTCTTTTTTCCGCGGACACGAGAAGTCAATAACTCCCTAACGTATGAACATCCTGAACTAATTACCAACCAGTAGATGCAATATACAAAAACCATGGAACAGTCCTCCAATGGCATATGACATACAATCAGAGTCAGGAAAATGTTCTGTCATGATCACTACTCACCCTATTCTTCTTCAAGCTCGGTGAAGTCTTCTATCACTTCAGTTGCAGCAGTTTGCTTACTCATGGCGCGCACCTCGTCGATTTCAATACGTAACAATGGGTCACACATCACGTTACCCGGATGCAATATCTTGGGACAACCTGATGGGAAATATGCCTAGAGATGAGGATTCGAACAAGATTATACCCCCACAGCAAAAAAAGAAACAAAAGAAAATAAAGTACCTGCAACGGGGCACTTTGCAGGCGCCTTCCTCAAAGTCTTCGACTTTATGTAATGCATGATTGCCGCCTTGTCATAAATATGGTTGCAATCTACACTGCATTATGTCAAGAAATGCATGGTCAAAAAACTGAAGACCGAAAAGTTTTGTTATCTCAAAGAATCCTCTTCTGAATATGCAAGCACAACTATGATTCGTATTCCAGAAGGCAGAACAAGCATGCTGAAGAATCAGAATTGAAGGAAAATGTTACACTGCGCACACTAGGGCTTTACTCATAAGCAATAGGAAGCACCATACACATACTCTGAACCTCGCCACTTTTATCAACTTATCAGCCATTAGGCCCATTACAAATCTTCAAGAAAAAAAGAATAATTGGACCATTAGTATACATATCAGAATTACTTTGTTCTGATACCAATAACTTCAGTTCCAAGAGTATCCTACAATCTCGAAGAACATGTGGAAATTTTACTTTAAATTTTCCCATGTCAGTATAGATCAACACTAAACAAACATAGCGTGCTGATGAACTGAAAAAAGTAGTAACAGCAATTATTAAGCCTCTAATGCTCAGATCCACTCCCATGCGATTACATATACGTGGGGAAGAAGAAAAAAAAAAAAAACAAACTTGTAAGACCAAAAAATGCCATGAGAAATGTAGGCAATTTCCTAGTTTCTTTCCACTTTCACTGCTAACTCAACAAACGCAGGCTCTATCAGAAGGAAACTGATAGGAACTTGTTAATTGGTTAGAGAAGTTAGTAGTTTGTTAGAAAGGATGTTATTAGTTAGTTACTGAGACTTTAGTTGGGGAGGGAATTAGTTAGAGAATGTAGGTTATATAAAAGGGGTGTTCGGGAACTGAGAGAGGGGGGGAATAGTCTGAGTGATTTTGGGAAGTCTTGGCTGAGGCTGAGCAAGGGTGTGTCATAGTATTCGTAGGATTGTTTGTGATTCGTTCGGTTAATCAGTAAAGATTACATTACTTCAAATGTTGTACCCTTATCAATGGGACAAGGCAGTAGTGAGTATAGGCCACTGGAACTTCAAAATACATAACAGAAATCCTTTTGGACATAGATAAACATATATTGAGACTCAAATGCACACCTGAATCTTTTACCCAAGTCCAAATAACATACTGTAAGAGAGAGTTTCTGGGCGTAGCATTGAGCAACATGCTGCTCCAATCTATATTGAATATGAACTTCAAAAGGAAGTGTGAGAACTGAAAAAGTTAATTCTCACATTACTCTTTCACGTTCACAAATTGCTTATTCCACGTTCTTCAGAACTTTATATAGTGTAGTCAGGGACAGTTTGTGGTGAGAGAGAAAGCAAGAGAGATGTTAGTGAATAATCGTACAGTTTGTTGGTGAGAGAGAAAGCGAGAGAAAGGGACAGTTTGGGCGTTGTGATTGGAAAGGAATAATCGTATCTTTGATGGAGTTGAGGGAGATGTTAGTGATGTCTAGGATCGCATAATTTACTGGGTGGCATTGTGGACTTTGCAGTAATCGTACAGTTTGTTGGTGAGAGAGAAAGCGAGAGAGGGACAGTTTGGGCGTTGTGGTTGGAAAGGAATAATCGTATCTTTGATGGAGATGAGGGAGATGTTAGTGATGTCTGGGATCGCATAATTTACTGGGTGGCGTGACTTCGCAAGATAAAGAATTCAAGGCTTTTTCATTCTCAGATCCTAGGGGAATGGGACTTAATTTTGTTATAGTTACGTTGTCCCTGTTGTGGTTTTTGTTTGTTAAGTACTTTTGGTTTTGACTGTTTTATTGGTTTGAGGACTCCTTGTCCTCTGGTGCTTTTATTTTCATTATTAATAAAATTCTAGTTTCTTATAAAAAAATAAACACAGAGAGAGAGAGAGAGAGAAACTAGTTTTTTAGTTTGCTATCAAGAAGTCATCATAACAAAACACACATTAAAAGTGAGCATCTTTGGATTATGTTTTCACAGCAAAGCATTTACAATGAACTTCCTTGCCGAGCCAAAGAGGAAAAAGAAGGGCGTTAACAACATCACACCAGCAAAGTAAAGTTTAATTTTCTTTTCTAAAGAAAAGGTAGCAACGAGAAAAGAGTAACATAGGAACTCCAACAATGTTTTATGATGGAAAGAAATGTGGATGCAAGTAGCGAGAACAAAATTTAGTCCTCTGGTTGTTACAAACATAAATGCATGTACAAGGCACAGGGAATTTTGAAATTACAATATTCACAAAAAACGAAGGCTGATGCATTATGCATAGTTAAGCAAATAAACAAATAAGATTAAAACACAACAGTTTTTCCTCCAAGAGAAAGAAACATTTGCATCGTACCTGCGAACTGGATCTTGAAGCTCCGTAATGGGTTTTCCACTTACTGGGCAATTTATATTACGAACGTTGCACTGTGTGCTGGTCATCACTATGTCCTCCTGCTCGTCACCTGGCATAGGCTGCCCACTGTGATGAACATTCTGCAGGAACATGTTCAGAGCACAGACTTTTCAATAAGACTGCTTACAACATGCTGATGAAGAATATATGACAAACAAATACAGAAACAAAAATATACGCAGATCCTGGCTCTTATCTAGGGAACAGAAAAGAAAAATTAAATGTAAGTACATTATTTTATTCACTTTGTGCACATGTCGATCCCACATGTTGAGTATGCGTAATTTAAGTGAATGTAATGCATCTTAACAAACTAGCTTTGTAGCCATATTTGCTTCATGCTGATTTAAAATGCTACATGGATTCTATGTCCATTATTAAATGAGGAAATTCGTGGCATAAATTGAGTTTCAACTTTCAAGATATTTAGAGTTTGGTATTTTTTAAATGTTGTCCACGATACTTGCTCATTATAGACTACTTCCTTATAGACTAAAGGCTGGTATATCATAAGGGAAATTTTTAAAAATACCCCTTGAAATGGAGCCCCCTTTTATTTCTACCCCTTAACATTAGCCCATATATTTCTACCTTTTAGACTAGAACTAGTCAAGGGGTAGAGTTTTTCAAAAGGGGTACTTTTAGTAAGTTAGATACTTAATGAGGTAAAATCTATAATTTTCTCTATATCAAAAACCAACAATATGTACAATCTCTCAGGTCTCATTGCTGGTGGAATGAAAACACAGTAATCTTTTTGATGATTCTCATTTGGAGTGGGACTTTGTGAACCATATTCCAGTAAGCATCACAGAAACATAGTATATACATCCACAATCATGTAAATGAAACAAGGAGATCACTTAACAGTTATAAAGTCACCAAATCTTGCACAAACTACAAAGCAGGTTAACTTATGCAGAATGGTCATAGACTATAGAAGCCGATACTCTTTCATATGTAAGGTTGCAGCAAAAAAAATCGATTGTTTGCTCGTCTTTTTCTTTTTTGTCCATTTAGAAACAAGAATTTTATCAATCATAAAATCAGTACATTATTCATCCAGTGCATCATTGATCCGAAGATAAGATATCCTTCTGAAACAAATAAAAAGTAACAAAAGACCATAGAAATTAATGAACCTTTAGACCCTTCCAACTTAGAATGATCAAGAAGAGGAAAAATACTTAAACTCTTTATCAACACAAAGGGAAGCTAGGTATTTGACTCTTTCATACAGAAAACAAACATCTTGCCTCTTATACCCAAACATTCTGCTGATCCTTTCCATCCAAATGAGCCACAAAACTACCAAAAGCAAACAACTTCCACTTAACATTTGCCATCTCCCTATTGCCAAAACCAATAGGCTTTGATAAATCCTACGTAACCTGTCCTCATTGTACCTTTTCAATTGGATGGTCTTATCCCACTATGCATAATTGGATTATTTTTGCAATTCCTAGCTTATTCGTACCATCCTACAGTCTTACTATTGAACAAATTATCATATAGCTCCATGTATCAACTCTTTCCTACAACACCAGTAACTTGATCTCAGAACTGCACTAAAAATCAGCACAAACATAACAAGCCAGCGAACAAACATTACTTGCTTAACGCCCCAACTTATCTTTAGTTGTACTTAATATAACTGGACTTTGGCCCACAAACATATTATCTATGTGACTGTCAACCATGTACTTATATTCCACAAAACAGTTAAGATGTCCTCTTTTTTTTTTAGTTTGAAGAATACAATTCGGGCTGAAGATTATGATATAACTCTAACTTCAACATTTTAGATGAAGAAATTTGCCTATATCCCAAAGGTAAAACGCAGAGATATATACCTAAAAGAGAAAACTTAAACGATGATATTTATCCTTGAGAAATAGGCTATAGTTGCTTATATGCTTTGTTATCATTAGTAGGCAAGAAAATTTTGGTTGATTATTGCATAAACTTGTAACAAGAAGCAGTCATACCCAGACAGCTTCCATGAATTGGCGCCTAAGAGGATTTTTGTGCAGATCCGATGACGAATTAGCCTCGACCTTTGAAATCTCATCCTCCAACATCTTCTTGAAATCAGTTAACTAAATTTCAAAAATCAAACCAACAAGTAACTCAGGATGGGTTTGAACAAAAAAATAAAATAAAATAAAATAAAATAAAATAAAAGGGAAAAGAAAAGTAACAACAATAATAACAAAAATGTGCACAAGAAAGAGTAAGCAGTAAAAAGCACCCCCTCTCTGGGCTGGTAATGATCTCCAACAAATTGAATTGCCACTGAGAGATTCCTACACTTCTCATACGCATTCAACAGATCCATAGAAGCATCCTCTAGCTCCTTCACCTGTCCAAAATCGAAATACCGGTCTTCATTTGTCTTGCAATCAGATTTAGTACTTTTAGATGGTGTTTGGCTCATGGGTTCGTTCAACAAGTTCGAAACCATGAGCCAAGTTTGAACCCAGGTTTGGCTTTGTAATTGTCGAGGTAGTTATGAACCTGATGTAATATTTTGGACCAACCAAAACCATCAACTTTAGAACTTACCCCCAGAAAAATTCAACTGATTCAGAACCATTTTCTACAATGAATAAAAACCATAACCCCATTTCCGGTTTCCTAACAGTTCAACATACCATCCAAAACATAATTTCAAACTTTATTATCAGTTCAAACTTACACTTTAACAAAATATCCATATGCCAATTCAAACCGCAAGTTAAATCCACACTTTACAAACTATACAGCATATCATTTAAGGGTCATATCCTTTTTTATTCTAGAACCGAGAGAAAGAAAAACATACAAAGCACAAATATGTAGGTCAAAAAAAAAATTTCGGTTCTCTCTTTTTTGAAAGGCAATAGCATAATTTCATTAAAAAGCCACTAAAGGCTAAGATAGAAGACAAAACCGGATGCTACTCACGTAATTAGACAACACAAACACACCCCTTATTCAATAAGGGAGAGAATTCCTTAGTTGGCAAGAGTTTGGCCACTTCAAAACGACTCCAGATGAACCACATCTCAGTTCTAATAACTCGGACTTAGAGGGCGGGAAGACCACCCTCCAGCCAAGACCTTTTAGGTTTTCTCTTCGACGATGACAATAAATCCAAAACAAACAAAAAAATACAAAAAATAACAGACCTTTGCGGATTGATTTTCTCTCTCGAAATCGATGGCGAGATCCTTAATCAAACTAAAACCCTTTCGAATATCCTGCACCAAACGGCGACGAGAAAATCAGTAGTTTCAGAGTGTAGAGGATTAAAAAAAAAGGAAAAAAAAAACCTGGAAAACAAAAATTCACTTACCCCAATAAGAGACTGGTTATCGGAGCAGATAGTGGAAGCAGCGTTCCGAATTCTGGTGGCGGCGCCGCCGGATCGAGCGGCGGAGCTCGACGCCATTGCTAACGCCCAAAGAAGTTTGATTTTGGAGGGAGATGGAGAATTCTACAAGGCCTTTCAATTTTTCGGATTTTATATTAAGCCCGGCCACATCTTTTTTCCCCACTATTTTATTGCGACTCATTTCCTCCCATGTCTCTATTATAATTACAGCTCGTTTAAAAAATATATTCAAATTATAATTTTTTATTTTAATGTTTAAAATTTAAAATTTTTATAAAAGAAAAATATTATAACAGAATTAATGATTTAAATTTAAGTGTATAAAATAAACAAGCTCGAATTAATCCTACAAATAATTATGAACTTTATTTTTAATCTCATTTTAGTTTCTGATTTGATAACATTCTAAATTAAACCTTCCTATCAGTTAAGTGTTAAAAAGAGTACAAAATATACATGTGTGTTGATAAAAATAACACTCCGTTGATGAAATACAAAATGCACATGATCCCAGTGAAAAGTAACACTTGGCTAATAAGTACTTCAATTGTTTTAAACATTAGGTCCCGTTTATTTCACCGATTCGAGTTTAAAATTTAAATTTTATTACAATAAAAAGCTCTTAGAAATAGTCACACTTAATTTTTTTACTACAGTAAAAAATTCTCACATAAAATCACATCTCAACTCGAATTAAAAACTCAAATAAATGAACTAAATGGGCCCCAACTGACATAAGGATTAAAACTAAACAAATTGATAATTTAAGGTAAAATTTATGACATTTTAAAAGTCAGATATTAAAATGAGTTGGGAGTAAAGTTTAGGGACTATTTGTGAGTGGATTAGAGGAGGGAAGGATTGGGTTGCAGCCTGTTTGTTTGGATGGAAAGAGGTGTAAAAGGAAAAATGGAAAGGATTGGGAGTCCCTCCGGGCCTACAGAAACCAAGCCATCCCATATTGGACAGATTGAGCAATGGGTGAAAGAATTCTAAAGTTTCCATTTTTACCCTCATGTTACATTGCCTTCCAATTTGCAACAAAATTCCAACATCTTTTCTTGACTCTAAGGGTCCGTTTAGTTCATTGATTTAAATTTTTAATTTGAGTTGAAATATGACTTTATGTGAAAACTTTTTACTGTAGCAAAAAAAGTTAAATGTGACTCTTTCTGAGAACTTTTTACTGTAACAAAACTCGAATTCTAAACTCAAATTGATAAAATGAACAGAGCCTAAGATAACTTATTTTACTTTTTACCTTTTGTGATTTACGATTTTTTTTATGGAGCGTTTTACAATTTTTGTTAAGCGGTTTATTATTATTATTATTATTATTATTATTATTATTATTATTATTATTATTATTTTCATTACAGTCGTTTACGTTTTTAAATAATATATTTTTTACATTTATTAATTTATAGTTTTAAGGGAAAAAAAAAAGAGATCATGAAACAAACAAAAAAATGACATTTAAAAAAAACCAAAAAAATGAAAATAAGGTTTAAATTTATAAATTAAACAAAAGGAATAATGTGATCTTTTTACTATTGAAAGTGAATCTTTCCTTCTTTTCCCCTTATACCAAACAAAACAAAACAATGGACCCCGTTCACTTCGCTGATTCGAGTTTGTAATTCGAGTTGAGATGTGATTTTATGTGAGAGCTTTTTACTGTAGTAAAAAAGTTAGATGTGATTGTTTGTGAGAGCTTTTTACTGTAGCAAAACTCAAATTTTAAACTCGAATTAGTGAAGTGAACGGGCCTGAGACTATCTTTCCTTCCTATCGTGCCAGACATCATTTAAAAAAATTATAATTATTCCCTTCTCTCATAACTCATAATTATCATCTTTTCATCCCTCTTGCCAAAGGCACTTTAAAATCTCGACTCATTTTCAAAAAGTTCGGGCCCACAATCATATATTAGGTCAAAAATTCTAGATTATGTAATATATTCCCTTAAGAAAAAAGAAATTATCCGTTTATTTCACCGATTCGAGTTTAAAATTTAAGTTTTATTATAATAAAAAACTCTTAAAAACAGTCACATTTTTAGCTACAGTAAAAAACTCTCACATAAAATCATATCTCAACTCAAATTAAAAACTCAAATTAACAAATTAAACGAGCTCTCAGTAAAACATTCATCCAATGACAATTTATATTTGAGTAGTTTGTCTACTTCATCTCTTTATAATTATACGTCTCTTTCTTAATATATAATGCATTAATTGTTAAGTCAAAATCACCCGAATTATTTTTCACCGTTAATAAAAATCTGTATAACAAATAAACTATCCAATTAGACCAAATTTATCTACCATATTACATGTCCACTTTGAGTTATTAACACCGATAGTCCCAGACTATACATGTTATCATTTGTCCCAGTTATACTTTAACAAATTTGATAAGAAGAAAAGTTTGAGTAAAAAATCAAGTGATTTTTATTTAATTCTAACAAATTTGAGTTAGAAAACGCAGACAAATACGAGTCTCAACAAGTAAAAATTAGAATAATCTTTCATTAATTTTTTCCGGACGAAAAAGTACAATAATATCATAGAAGGAAAAACATCTTCCACCCTTTGCTTATTAACCAAACTAAATTAATTATGAGACGTTTGGTTTATAGATTTAGAACCATGATTCATGATTTTGATTTTTGAAATTTAAATTTTTTATGAGAGAAAAATACTGCAGAGAACCAAGAATTAATCATGATTCATGGACGAACCTTTGAAACAAACATATCCTATTAGAGATCATGAACAACCCTATCATAATCAGTCCCCATCAAGTGTGGAAAGAGCTCATAATCGAGTTGCAAAACCTGATCATGATCAATCATCACATGGTCATGATCGTGATCTTGATCTTGATAATTATTATAATAACCAGTAGAGCTCCTAATTCCCTCTTCACACCAAGAAGAATCAATAGAACAAATTGTAGTAGTAGTAGTAGTTGTTGTAGCAAATTGATCAAGCATTTCCTTAGCCTTTTGAAGCTCTCCCCTTAGCCTATCAACTTCCCTCTCAAGCTGCCTCTTCTCGGCCAAGGCATTTTCAAGCCTCACCTGCAGCGTGCCGCAGTCGAGCTCCAGGCTCTGCGTCCGCCACCGCGCCCGCTTGTTCTGGTACCACACGGCAACCTGCCGCGGCGGGATCCCGAGCTCCTCCGCCAGCCGGGCCTTGCGCTCCGGCTCTAGATTCCTGTTGGAGATGAAGCTTCTCTCTAAGAGCCTGACTTGGTCCTTTGTTAGCCTAGTACTACTCTTCTTCTTCTTGTTGTTCTTGTTGTTGTGTTTTAATGAGCTAATTTTGTTGTTTTGGCTTTGGAACAAGTCCATGATCTCTTTCTTCAAACTTCAAAGGAAGATTGTTATTTTGATGTGGGGTTTGGATTAAGAGGAAACTAAGGTGGTTTTTATGCTTTTTAGGTTGAGTGTTTTTATATTTATATACAATTTGCATGGTCGTGGTTTCACGTGGGATTGGTCCTACTAGAAGTATAAAATATATTATCTGTGTATATGACTAGCTAGCCAGCAGCCTATAGCAGTCAGTTTTGTCTTCTTTCCTGATTCTTCACTCTTAACACTTATCTTAACACTAATGGGCCCGTTTCGTAATACTTTTAAATTAGTTTCGTTTTCGTTATAAAAATAAAAATGAGATTATTTTAAAAATTATTTTGAAATTAAGTTTAGTGGTTTTTTAAGAGATTGGTTTGATTGAGTACGATAAAAAAGTGAAATCGTATTTGGTTACATTTATGTTTATTTTGAGTACATGTAATTAATAATCTTAAATTAATATATTAAGTAATTAATAATTGATAATTATTTAGCAAATAAAAATTAATTTATTAATAATATAATAATAATAGATAATTAATGAGATTTATGTTTGTTTGAACTACATGTAATTAACAATCTTAAATTAATATATTAAGTAATTAATAATTGATAATTATTTAACAAATAAAAATTAATATATTAATAATATAATAATAATGGATAAATTATCATCAATGAGTACATTAGTAATTAAACTATATATATAATAAATTAATATGCTTAATAATTAAAAATAGTAATTAGTAATTAATCATAAGTAATTACTAAGTTAGTAATGGACTCATATTTATTAGATTATAAGTAATTAATTAGTGTATTAAGAAAAGTAATTAGTATATATATATAATTTATTAATATTCTGTTACTACTTAAATAATTAATTTTTAGTTATATAATTAAATAATTAGTTAATTAATTACTAGTGTTCATTTAATAATCTATTATTTGATATATCACGTGATCATTTTTTGGTAATTATTCTTTTTATAATGATTAATTACTAATTATTAATTATTAATTATTATTGATTAGTATATTATTAATATGTTATATAATTAATTTTTGACAATTAATCTTTAACTAAATAATTAATTACTATATTATTTATTACTTTATTAATAAAATTAAAAACTTAATAGTAATAAATTAATAATTAAGTAATTACTATCTATTTATTAGTTATTAAGTATATCTATCTATTAATTATTAATGAATATATAATAGAATTAGTAATTAATAATAATTATTATTTAATAGAACATTGTTGATAAGTACTAGAAAATGAAAAGGGAAAACAACTTTCAATCGTTTTCTACTTTCTTCACAAAAATCATTCTCATTGTTTTTGTTTTCGTTTCTGTTTTCAAAACTTTTATTAAACAAACGCGATTTGTATATCGTTTTTATTTTTATGCCTCAAAAGACGTGCATAAGCGTTTTTGAAAACAACTAAAAAATAATTCCAAACGCACTCATGGTTTGCGTACTTTTTTCTTGCATCAATTGTGTGTCATAAAAATATTGCTCCAATCATAAAAGGGATCAATATTATAATTGATTAGTTGTCAGTTCTAATTAATGGTGAGAAGGAAATTTTGCCCTTAAAAAATGACATTAAGAGGTTTTTAATTTCTAATTGAAGTAATAAAAAAATAAAAGAAAAATGAGACTCATTATTAAACAAAATTCTGAACTTCCAAGAGAAAAGGTTACTATCGAAAATGATTCTTCATATACACAAGCAAATTCTCTCTCTCTCTCCCTATATATATATATATATATATATATATATACATACACACGTATATTAAATAAGATTTTACCATTATAATGCATACATGAAGGATAAATATCATATATGCATATATATACAGACACAATATTAAAACATACATAAATTATGCTATGTCTGAAACTTTATGTAATCTTTACTTGAGTTTTAGGCTCGTGTTGTTGCAAATATGTTTGAAGCATGGGCAACCGATTTGTATAACTATTTTGACCAAATTGAGTTTAATAAGCTACAATTATATTTTTAGAAAAAGAGAATTGACAAATCCATCTTTTCTTGAAATAGACACAAGCAAAGAAAACGGAAGTAAGTGTCTAAACTATGCACATTCTATATTGGCTTTTAGTAGCTGTTGAATTTGACTACTATTTGCTTTGATTTCATTGATGATGGCAAAGGTCTATGAAAATTGAGCAGGTTAAAGGAAGAAAGTATAGAGAACAAATAAGCTATTTTATATTAAAAAAAAAAGGTGTTATAAAAATTAAGAGATAGAAAATTGATAGAAAGATTTTAGAGAAATAAACTGAAAGGGATGAGAAATTTGTAATATTATTACTGATATCAAAAAGGGGTGCATCTCCTAAATGTAAAACATCTATATTTATAACGACACTTAAAAATACTATGCATCACTATTCATTTACGCGTTTTCACGCGTTGCGCCGCACCTAAGGAAGGTGGACAACCACAATAAAAGCCATAATATTTGACTTTTTCAACAAAAGGGATAGTTTCAATTTGATAGCCTATTTTATAGCAAAATCGTCTTTTAATATTATGTATTTATGATAATTTTATATTAGCACCTTAACATTTTGAAAAATCAGTTTTTGATTTTTTAAGGCCTTTTTCTGGGACATGAAATGTTGAATTTATCCTTTTTAATAATTTTTTATTTGATTAATCTGAGTTTATGCTTTTAAGATTTTTAATGGCAAAAAGGATTTTGGTTACAAGATAAATATTTTCTAAAAACGTTTAGTAAAGAGTATCAAAAGATTAAAGTGATTAGTGATCGACTATCAAAAGATGAGTATATGATTCATTGGTTATCTATATGCAGTATATAGCTTATACACATGTACATATTACAGTCGAGGAAACATACTTCTGGAATCAAACATAATTGAACAAATCAATAATCCCACTTTAGAACATGTGTGATGATACGAAATTCCTACATTAATTAGGTATAACATATATTGGATACATGAATTTGGTAATATGGGTAATATTACTTGGCGGAGCCACTTGAAGATGAGCGGGGGCAGCCGCCTCCACTCAAATTTTTTTGAAAAAAATATTACTTTTAAAAATTTTAAAATTTTACACTTAAATTCTCATTGAAATAATATATGCCCTTACTAAAATAAATAAATTTTCTTATATGCTCCTGTTAAGATAACTGATATTATCAATCATCAAGAGGGCTCCTATTGCAGACGTAGTTGCATCAATGATAATTGTCGTTTGGAAGGTAACACCCCCTTCCCCACGCTTAATATAATTTATGCATTATAAATTCAGACTAATTGATGGTTGGAAGCTGTGGTACATGCACCGTTCGTATTGTAATGTTATTATTTTCTCTTTTTTTTTTCTATTCTTAAAAAAAAAAATATATATATATATATATATTAACTCGTTTGGGGTAACTTTTATTTTTATTTCTTCCTTAATTTCTATTTGGATGGTGTATGAAAAATAGTTTTGATTTTAAAACACCTTTCGAACCGGTTTGGTCAAATGAATCAAAAACTCTTGTTATAAAAGAAAATGTAATACAAGAACATAGATGAAAATTTTAGTTGTTATTCTCAAATAAACGATTAAAATGTAAATTAAAAAAAAAAGAGTTTTTTGTGAGCTCTTTTTCCATAAGCATTAAGAAGTTAAACTTATTCCAAAAGAGTCAAAAAAGCTAAGAGTTCTTCAAATGTGTCCATCCAAAAAGCTTGAAAAGTAGTTTTTGGAAGAGAGAGATTTAATTAAGTACTCTTTGAGTTAGGTAATTAAAGTTTATGATAAAACGGTTTGTTTGACACTTCACATCTTACTTGGTCGTCAATGCGGTGTTTTTCCTTTCATGTCTTGAGATATCTATGAGCATAATTATTTTCGAATTTCATAATTATTGATATTTTCTTTCAGGTTGTTATATTGCAAGCGTATACACTCTTTTTTTCTTACTAAGTTTTTCCTCAGGAGATTTTTCTTGTAAGGTTTTGCTGAGAACAGGGGTTGATTTTCAAAGGCCTATAGTTTTGGCTGTTCCTTTTAGGGTAAGTCCCTAATTGTCTTTGTCCTTATAGGTCATGTTCATTTCACCGATTTGAGTTTAAAATTCGAGTTTTGCTACTAATAAAAAACTCTCAGAAACAGTCACATTTAACTTTTTTACTACAGTAAAAAATTCTCACATAAAATCACATCTCAACTCGAATCAGCGAACTAAACGGGATAATTAGTCTAGTTTCCTTTGGTTATTTTAATCCATCTGTTTTGGTTTATTGCTCTTCGGTGTCGTAATTTTTCACAACAATTCATTTTGTGTTTTGCGGATGCCAACTTAATTAGAATTATAAGTTTAATATCAGTTACTCCCTCTCATCATTTAACAGTAATAAGGACGACAACATCTTATAAACCACGTTGTGGCAATTACAAATTATCTTACTATCAAACTTAGGGCTTGTTTGGTTCCAAGACTTAAACCCATAATTCTAATTTTACTCTCTTACAAAAAATTTGAATCAAAAAGTTCTCGTCAATGAGTTTTTTCACAAAAAGTCACTGATACGCATGAACTAAATGGACTATCAATGTTGTATGAGCGGATATACCACGTTTTTTTAAAAAAAAAAAAATGAGACTCAAAAATTTGGTTGCATCACTGTGCATAAAAACGTTAGTTAATATATTGGTGTCTCTATTATAAGGGAGAAAGAGAAAAATAGGTCAAAACTTGAGATCAATTAAAATTAATAGGCCAATAGTTTACATAAGTTAATAAATAGGTCAAATTACTATTTTCGTCCATAACTTGTCTGGTTATGAACCATAACTTGACAAGTTATTCCCGGTTCTTGTCCATGACTTGTCTGGTTATGAACCATAATTTGACAAGTTTGTCCATAACTTATCTGGTTATGAACTATAACTTGACAAGTTATGCCCTATTAATTTTTATAACTAAAAGTTGGCCTATATACTTTTTTAAACTTTTCATATTGGCATATTTTCCATTATTTCCCCTATTATAATTCCATGATTAAACTACTTATTGGACCAAGTTTTGCAAATGAAATAGATTTTTGAATTTTCAAGTTCTTTGAGATAATAAGTCATACAAAGAATTGGTTGCGTTGTAATTTAGAAATATGTAGCCTCAATGGTTCACGAGACAAGATACTAATTGCAAAAATAATAATGAAAAAAAAAAAAAAAACGTACAAACAACAAGAAGAAAAGGAATATCTTGTAGAATATAGATGTATCTATTACATATGATTAGCAAGGAATTAAATCAACAAACCATTCGATTATTTTTACAGGAAGCTTGACGATGCTAATTGCCATATTTGCAATACCAGCAAAACATATGCAACAAGGGCACATGCAACTCAACACAGACCTGTCATTTAAAACAAAATTACAAAAAAAAAAAAAAAAAAAAAAAATTATTATTAAAACATGATCATACCAACCATATACAGCACTTGACGATAGAAATACAAATTAATATAGTATAATTTATAAATGACAAAATTCCGAGTAAAATTTATTGCTTCGAAATCGAAGAGGTAGAGAAAATGAAATATATTGAGGAATGTGACATTCGATCGGAGAAATGGGATGTTTGTTTCAAGAATTCGCCTCTGGCTTTAAATCATGTTCTTGATTCTCTACAGTATTTTTCTCTCATAAAAAATTTAAATTTCAAAAATTAGGGCCTATTTAGTTCGCTGATTCGAGTTGAGATGTGATTTTATGTGAGAGCTTTTTACTGTAGCAAAAAAGTTAGATGTGATTGTTTGTGAGAGCTTTTTACTGTAGTAAAACTCGAATTCTAAACTCGAATTAGCGAAATGAACGAGACCTAAAATTATAAATCATGATTCTGAAATCATAAACTAAACGTCTCATTAAAAGTCCTATATATCCCGATGGAGATGTGTCCGCATCAGACCCACAAAAATTGGGTCGATTCCCATCAGAAAGAGTGGGACCCACCTATTGAGTCTAATGGAGATGCATCTTTCGTCGAGATATATAAAATTGCTCTTACATATAATACATATTCTAGCAAAAACAAAAAGGAATAAGAAAATTCAAATTTCAGAGGAAACAAAAATTGAAATGCATTGAAGGGAAAACTAACCCAATAATCCAAACGACAACACCAACAAGAGAAATGAGAAGAGAAAGGAAAGCAAAGGGCAGCCCAATCAGAAACCCCAAAGGCCTACATGAACCGGAGTCTCCCATTATTCAGTTTCTAACTTTAGGCTTCTCTGCATTATTTATCTGCCTACATCTTTTTTTTTTCTTTTTTCTTTTTTTTTTTCTTTGTGAATCAACAGCCTTTTTAGGAAACACAAAAGCCTTTTTTTTTTTCTTTTTTTTTTCGGATACTTAATGGAGGGGGGAGATCTATGTACTTGTTATAACCGTTTTCTACCAAAAACATGAAGCCTTCGTGTGTGTATCTATAATTAGGAAAACTTACACTATATTACCCTGATTTATGTCAATATTACATTAACACCCCCTCGGTAGAGTGTGATTCTATTGACACTAAGAGCGCGTTTGAAACTCATTCTAAAATGATTTTATTTTTTGTATGAAAATAAAAATGAAAATATTTTCAATCTCAGACAGAAATCATTTTTGAAAATGTGTTTAGTAGTTTTATCAAGAGATTATTTTCAATGTAAAAAAATACATTAATGTCTCTCTTTCTCTCTCTATGCTCGAGGGAGGAGAAAACGAAAATAAAAAATGAAAAACAACTAAAAGTCATTTTTTATCTCTTTCATTTTACATTAAACTAAAAAATCATTTTCATTTTTATTTTTTATCTTTATTGCGCCAAACGTCGTTTTGAAAACGTTTTCATTTTTTTCTCAAAAAACGTGAAATAAAAATGGGATCAATTCCAAACACGGCCTAAGTGATGTTTGTTTTAAGGGTTTTGTCTGGTTTAGAATCATGGTTCGTGGTTCTTCTACAGTGTTTTTCTCTCACAAAAAAATTGAATTTCAAAAATTACGAATCATGGTTCTGAACTCATGAACCAAACGTCACCTAAGAAGTGACCCGCAGATGGGTAGCCAGCCATGAGACTGTGCGAGATCGTCATGATGAGCGTGAGGTAGGGAGATTGGGGATTTCTCTCTTTAGGATTTAGGACTTTTTTTAGTAAAAAAAATTGAATTTAAGATTCATGCATTAGGGTTTTCTAATTGGGAATCTGATTAGTAGTAAAAAGTTAGGAATTTGATTAAGATTTCATACAATTTAAAGATTAAGGTTTTGTGCCACACTGATACAAGCTGAGACATATAATTATATATCAAATGCATCATATTTATATACATATATATATATATATATTCAATGGTGTAGATCGTGTTTTATTAACATCTCAATGGTTTCAATTAATTGGGTATTTTTATTCCATATCTTCCATCTCCATTCCAATATGGATGTATCCCAAAGCTTTTTTTTTTTCCTTCAATAAAAGATCAAGAAATCGACTCTAAATTAATCTGTTCGTGATCAATAATCAGAGCAAATACATGCAATAATTGGTGGTGAATATGAGAGATAGTAATTAAACCCAAGAGAGCTCTTTAACCATAAATACTTGTTTACAATTCCACGATAAGGAAAGACTCAGGCAGTCCTTGTCAGATCCCAACACAAAACCCTAATTTGAGGTGTTCATATTATCATATAGAATGGAATAATCTTCTGTTCTCATAACCATTTTTATGCTAACTATGAACCAATCCCAAACAAGATATTCCATGATAAATAATATAAGTTACATAGCTAGAGCATCAACAGCATATACCAATAAATTAGAGCACTACTAACCATCATATCTTTTATATGTTTTGAAGCTACTCCTTGTAATATTATGCGTCAAAAATACCGAGTCATTCATTCTTCCACAACATTCACCAGCTCATATTCAACCAGAGAGAGATTGTTATCCTCCTTGACAACAAACTGTGCAGGCTCGGTGACCTCAACGCGACCCCACTTGTCGACAGCCAGCCTCATAGATCCCTTAAACATATCGACCTTTGCGTTTCGAAGAATTATTGTCGTGTCAGGCTTCATCAAGTCAACTGCATAAAGAATACAGCAACCAACAAAACAGTGAGCAAGGGAAACATCATTCAGGGAGACCCTATAACCACTCAAATTCTTCCTCAATTCTTCCCGGGAGAACGTTTCAACTGGACTTAATAACTCGTTGTAATTTCATGAAATTGCTAGATTTAGGAAAACAACACTTGAAGGTTATTTTACCAAAGACAGCCAAAACAGTTAATCGGTTCCACTTATCATATATAAAATAGACAATAATAAAAAGAAAAATGAAAATATTTGCCGTATGGAATTTTAATTTGTTCACGACTCAGGGTTACACACTTGTGCACAGAGCCTACAAAATTTAAGCACAGAAGCTAAATCCTTCAAATCAGTACAGCAAAATCTTACAATCGACCAAGCAAAAGATAGCAATGATGGACATCTCAATTTGGAAACAAAAACTCAAAAGGATTTTCCTTGTCTTTCCTAAAAAGGATAACAAAACCATATTGATTGTTTCCCATTCCCAATAGCTCTTCACAACATAATGGATATCATGCACCAGTCATAGCCATCAAATCTTGGTTACACGTGTTCCAATACATGTTCAAAAGCAACCTAACAGACATCAGATATAGTTAAAATAGAAACTAAAAATTTTGATAGAACACAAGTTTAAGAAAAAAAGGAAGCATCTCGAAAAAGATATGGTTTCTATGTAATCCAGGGTAAATTGTCTGGTCTATGGAATATGAATAATAGGGATCTAAGGCCATTTATCAACCAAAAAAAAAAAGACACACACACAAAATATCCAAGGCAAAAACTAAAAGCTAATCTCGAGGGTACCAAAAGAAAACCTCGCAACTACCAAAACACATTCTTCTTGACAATCCCAATGGTTAGGAACCAGCAAACCAGGATATAAAACCTACTATTAAGTATCCTTTCGTGTTCAAACTGAATATGTTGTAGTTCGCAGTGATTTCCACTTCTCCCTAATCCCTATTAGCTCACAAAAACATATATGCTAAACATTATAAATCACCTCCCAAAGACGAATGGAATAAGTCAAAAAAGGAATCAACTTGCACTATGTGAGGATATCATAACTCTTACTGCTAAGAAATTTATATGAATAAAATACGGATTCAACAATTAAAGAAAATGACAAGTATCATTAGCAATTAACCTTTCATCACAAACATGACTCGTGGTTGCACCTTCTCATAATCTAATTACACAGGTTCATTCCAAAATTTAAATGTGTGATAACCCATGTCGTAGTGCTATTTGGGACAGGATTAAGTATTGGGTAGCTTTGTGGATTTTCCATTCTAAAGGTTTTACTAGTTTATCTTTCTCAGATCTACTCAGGGGAATAGTATATTTCATTAAGCCTTTCTGTGGATTCTGGTTTAGTAGATCTTTAGGCTTGTTTTCTGTGGTTTGTAGTATCTGTGTTTTCTTGGTGGACCACTTGTCCCCTTTTGTATTTGCTTTCTTTTTTATTTAAAACAAGTTATCCGTTTCTTATCCAAAAAAAAAAAAGAGTCCTAACAATATAATTGATAACAAATGCAAACCTTTCTATACTTGAAATAGCTGGGATATAACAGATGTTTTTGAAAAGCTATACATGGTCAAATGTATGCATCTGACTGACATTATTATTCTCCAATATACACACAAATATACAACTCTTTTAAGATAGCATTCGTCCTACTTAGCTAAACTCTCATCCAAAGCTTAACAACTCAAATCTTTTAACACTAGCGTGGTTACAGTTGCCACTCAAAACTGATCTCTTATGATAACACTAATGACTCATCTCGATTTGAAAACTAAATAAGATATACAAGATCTCAAATCTAAAACAGGTTGTTTACACCGACAGAACCAAAGAGGACAAGAGAGGGGGAAGGAAGAAGAATTATTAGGTGATTGACTTGTTTAAGAAACGCAAAAAATGCGAGACTACCTGATGAAGAATAAGTTGTGTTGGAAGAAGATAAATGTAAAGAATAAATTAGATTGATTTGGATTGTTTTTTATTTGATTTTCCTTTATTTGTGTATGATTTTATGTATTTATTAGTTTCCGGTTTTGGTTTTGTAGCTAGCCTATAAATTGGCTACGCTATCATAGACAAGGCAGACCATGATTTGAATATTGAATTCAATTATAATATTGCTTCTCCCTCTTGATTTCTTCTCCTTCCTCATCCCTCTCTAACTCAATTCCTTTTTCTAAATCCCTAATTCCTCTCCTATTTCTCTCTCCTTTTTCTAAATTCCCCCTCTTTCTCTTCTCGATTTCCCTTTCTCTCTCTAGTTACCTCTGTTAGTCAATTATCAGAGGCAACAGGAAAGATCTAAAAGTTTTAGAGAGGAGAAACAAAAAACAAGCAAGCCTCCATAGGAACCAGTAAGCGACATGTTCTCATCATTATATAACATATTAAAGAAAAAACACGTGAAAGAAACTTCTATTCTTGCTATTAAGGACTCTAATGCCTAAAGTACTGGAACACTTTTCACTGAGGTCAAAAAAATAATAATATGCATAAATTACTTTGAGCATTCACAAATATTGTAGCATGTTTAAAGTAGAAGCATTGCACTACAAATTAGGAATACAGCACACAATTTGTGAAAAGGTAACAAGTTCAAGCCTACTCTTCATTGATGTTTTACTTAAATACGGATGCTATAAATTTGAAACACAGAAATACACAATACAGACACAATTTTGTTCCTTCCACTTAATTGTTCCTTCCTTTTGACAAGGATAGGTAGGGGTGTTCAAAAATTCCGCAAAACCGCGAAAACCGCCCAACCCAAACCAAACCGAACCAAATCGTTAATTAATTTCGGATTATTGGACGGTTTGGTCGGTTTTTTAATCTAATTTTTTTGGGCGGTTTGGTTTATGGTTTGGACTCTCCAAACCGCTCAAATCCGCCTAAAAATATACATTTATAATTTTTTTAATTTTTAAAATGTTTTTTATATTTATTTTAATATTTATTGGTCATAATATAAGTTCTACACTTATAAAATACAACCTATCATATTTTTGTTGGTTTGTATTAAAACTTTAAATAGTGAACTATTAGACATTTGTTATTTTTGAGTTATATTGTAAACTTGAATCTTATTCTTATTTTTATTGACTAACGATTTTATAATTTTATGAATTATTAAAAACTTTTTTAGTCTTAAGCTTAAACCGCTCAAACCAAACCGCCCAAACACGCTTATAAGTGATTTGGTTCAATTTGGTTTTTGTCAAAAATATCGAACTGCCCAAACCACCCAAAAAAAAAATTTTGGGGTTTGGTTGATGGTTTCTACAAAAAATAACCATCTAAACCGACCGCGAACAATGAGCATCGAGTGGAACAAGGTCGGGTATGCTTCCCCCGCCCCTGTCCCCGCTTTCACCTTTGCCCCCCATATATCCGCCCCCATAAATATCTTTCAAATTTAGATATTATTAGGGCTTTTTAAGATGGTAAAATAGTAAAATACTTTTAATTTTTTCTAAAACTCATATTTTTTAAGTATTATTAAAATATATAATATATATTTGTATTGAAATTTTTTTTTAAGAATACATGTATATGTATATGGGGTGGGGGTCGGGGCGGGGGAAGGGTGGGGTACTTTCCCCGCTCCGCTTCCGATTCGGGGGACAATATAAACCCACATACCCGCCCCCATCCAATTTAATAACACTCATCCCCGCCCTATTACCCGTGGGAAAAATGCTCATCCCTAAACAAGGGCTAGAAAAACGTTGAGTCGGCAAATAGTGATACGAGAAATGCTAGCGTCACTCTCTTTGTCACTTTCTACATTCATTGTTTGATATGTGGATTTCACTATCTCATTTTTTATTTAAATAATAATATGTCATGTTAGTAGAGTCCACATGTCAAACAGTGAATGCAAAAAGTAACAAAGAGAGTGACGCTAACATTTCTGATGGGAGCACGGCTAGGGCTAATACATGGAACCAAGATCTGCTTCAAGTTCCGGTAGGACCAGTCACAAGAGCTCAAGCTAAACGTTTCAATGAGGCACTTAATGGATTAATCCAAGAGGTCCCGAAAAGAGAAGCATGCGTGGTCACTACTGATGGTGAGCCAAGATTGGTCCTGTAAATTTTCTAGAAAGAAACTTTCTATTATTTGGGAATAGTAAAAAATAATACATAATAAATAGGCTAAGGAAGAAACCTTATCTTCCTAAAAGAAACTATCCTAATTAAGGATAAACTCTATCCTAATTAAAGATAAACTCTAACCTTAAAAACCTTATCTCTAATGATAAACCCTTTATCCTCTTTTTTATTTAAATTCAAATACAAAACCCTTATCTAACTGACACTCCCCCTCAAGTTGGTGCAAAGATATCTATCATACCCAACTTGCTAACTAGAAACTCAAACTTCTGCCTTAGGAGTCCCTTTGTTAGAATATCTACAGCTTGTTGTGTGGTTGGAACAAATGGTGTGCAAATGACCCCTTCTTCAAGCTTCTCCTTTATAAAGTGTCTATCCACCTCAATGTGCTTTGTTCTGTCATGTTGAACAAGATTGTGCGCGATACTGATTGCAGCCTTGTTGTCACAATATAGTTTCATAGGACTATCGTGTGGTCTTCTAAGCTCCTTGAGGACTCTCAGTAGCCATAGTACCTCACATATCCCTAGTGCCATTGATCTATACTCGGCCTCAGCACTACTTCTAGCTACTACACTCTGCTTTTTGCTCCTCCACGTGACTAAATTTTTCCATAAGAATGTGCAGTATCCAGAGGTTGATCTTCTATCCACTATTGATCCTGCCCAGTCAGCATCCGTATAGACTTCAATTCCCCTGTGCTCACTTTTCCTGAAAAATAATCCTTTTCCTGGAGTTCCCTTTAAATACCTCAAGATCCGGTAAATTGCTTCAAGGTGTTCCTCGTACGGGGCATGCATGAACTGGCTAACCACACTTACTGCGAATGCGATATCAGGTCTTGTATGAGACGGGTAAATTAACTTGCCAACTAGTCTCTAGTATCGGTTTGTATCAACCTAGACCTCTTTCTCTCCTTCACCAAGTTTTACGTTGAACTCCATAAAGGTCTCAGCCGGTCTACATCCACTCATCCTGGTTTCTTCTAAAAGATCAAGGATATATTTGGGCACAATCTCATTTGTACTAATAACAGAAATAGATTTGAAACAAGTCTTCCGAGCTTGCCTTCCAATTGCAGATCCACCTTCAAGTATGTAGAGTCCTTCAACTTGTTTAGCACTACCAATCATCTTCCCCGAGGTTAAATCCTGGAACTCACAATGAGAAAAAAAGAAGTTAACTTGACAATTTTGATCATGAGTTAATTTACTGACAGATAAGAGATTGCAAGACAAATTTGGGACATGGAGAACATCATTGAGAGTAAGGTGAGGAGAAATAACGATGGTTCCTTTCCCGGCTATTGCTGAGAGGGAACCATCAGCTATTTTGCTTTTTTGATTTCTTGCACATGGTCTATAAGATGGTCATGTGATCGGTTGCACCGGAATCGATTATCCAAGAACAATTTGGATTGACACTGATAAGAGTGGCGGGGAGGTAATTACCTTTTTGTGCCACAGAACAAGAAGGGTTAGAATTTACTGGGGATTGTAAGGGTGGCTGAAACATTTTGTACAGGTGGTCAAGTTGTTCCTTTGTAAATGGAAGAGTTTCTGAGGAGACTTGTTGCTGCCCTGTTTCATTATTGTTGCTGGCCTAGAATGCCCGAGTGTCACCATTCTGCTTCTTTTTCTAGTTTGTTGGATTGCCGTGAATTTTTCAGCAGTTCTCACGGGTGTGCCACGGTTTTTTACAGTGATCACACCATGGCTTATGTCTTCTATTCTTCCTTTCGCCCTCTAGATCATACCCTTTTGTAGCCAGTGCAGAACTTTCAACATCAAGGCTGGTTGAGTGTCTCCTGTTGGTTTCATCATGACATGTCTACAAGCTTCTTCTCTGCGGACTTCTGAGAAAACCTCCCTGATTGAGAGGAGAAGTGTTCGACTCAAAATTCGACATCGGACATCATCTAATTCTTTGTTTAAACCTGGAAGAAATACAAACACACGGTTTCTTTCAATTTTTTTCTTGTATCGAACACTATCACTTGGACTCTCCCATTCTTCTTCTTTGAGTAGATCAAGTTCCTGCAATAGTGTCATCATCTCGTTATAATACACAGTCACTTCTCGATCTCCTTGCTGGGATCTCCACACCTTGGCATTTAATTCAAACATTTGGTAATAATTTTCCAAATCAGAGTATGTATCCCGCGCTGCTTCCCAAACATCTCGGGTAGTAGGGAGAAACATGAATGGTTTCCCAATCATTGGTTCCATAGAATTAATCAACCAAGCAATTACCATTGAGTTCTCTGATTTCCATCTCCTCTGCTTTGCATCATCAGTAGGCTATTTTATTTCTCCGGTCAGGTAACCAAGCTTTCCTTTACCATCGATCACAAATTTGACAGATTGTGACCATTCTAGATAATTTTTTCCATTCAGTTTATGAATGGTTATTTGAAGGGAATGATCGGGCAGATACATAGGAGAGACTGAGGAACAACCTCATCGGCAACCTCTGAGGAACTCGTGCCTTTGGCGGCACCAACCATGGTTGTTTTTGTCATGGCTCTGATACCATGTAAATTTTCTAGAAAGAAACTTTCTTCTATTATTCGGGAATAGTAAAAAATAATACAGAATAAATAGGCTAAGGAAGAAACCTTATCTTCCTAAGAAACTATCCTAATTAAGGATAAACTCTATCCTAATTAAAGATAAACTCTATCCTAATTAAAGATAAACTCTAACCTTAGAAACCTTATCTCTAATGATAAACCCTTTATCCTCTATTTTATTTAAATTCAAATACAAAACCCTCATCTAACTGACAGGTCCAAATCATCAAAGCAATTCCAGATAAGGATCTTTAGGAGTTGGCATGTGCATTAGCATGAAGGGGTGTGTACTGTTCACGTGTTATCTATTCATCAAGTCTTTAGGATCAAGATCAATATTTTGATAGTTATCTTTAGTCACTATTTTGATAGTTATCCTTAGTTTCTTTTAAAATCAGAGTTTGTTTAGAAATTAAATAAGGCATGTTTATCCAAAAGGATAAATTTATTTTCTTTTAGGATAGAGTTTGACCAAAATTCGAATTTATGTAATAAACCTATTAAATAGGCGTGTTCAGGAGTTAATAATATACAACAATATTTTTTTTTCAGCAAAAGTTTGAGCATTCTCTTTGGTTCTTTAAGAACTTCTTGAACTTATTGGATTCTCTATGGCGTTCGTTCTTGACTTATCAATCAATTCTTCCATCATTGATTGTGGCATCTACACTATACCAAGGTTCTTGCTTCCATATAAGCAACGGATCAAGGTTTCCATTCAAGCCTAATTTTAGATCGATCTTGGAGACTTTCTTGATTCGGGTTTCGTCAGTTTCTTGGCAAAGTTCATATCAATTTCTCCCGTGATAATGGCTTCGCATGTAGTAAAATAAACCAAAACATTTAGCCTTCATAACTTGGCATGCAATGCTTTGAGTACGATGTACATTGCTTCTCTTTTAAAGCTTCAAGAACAAAATTTTCTCAAATAATTGGTCGCCTATATTCTTCTCCAATCTTGCCGAACGCGTGAAAGCAGATTTAGCATCTTAGTTTTAAGTAATTCTTTCCCCTGGAACCACTAAAAACCATGAAAGGTACCGGGATTCACAATTATTACTACATTTCCGTTCAGAAACTTCCTAAACTGGTCTCTCACTCACTCCTGTCCATGCTTCCGAAATGCCCTTATGAAGGTCACCTCTAAATATAGAAGGTGCACATATCTACATTGCAAAAAGCTCACTCAGATCCTCCCAATCTATTTCAGACGAAATAAATCAATCCAAAAGGCATTCATTTGTAAACAAAATTCACAATTTCAACACCGCAGGACGGAATAAAAACAAAATCAACCAATTCCAAATCGGGAATATAGCAAAAGCACCTCATAAATTCGACAATTTCATCCAAAAATTCACTTTTTTTTTATCGAGAAATAACATATAAACACAAATAGCTTGTCTTTCTTTACCATTAACAAAAAAAAATCAAAACCTATTAGAAAAGCAACCAAAAAAAAAAGGAAAACGAAAAGACGGCAAAAAAGTACCTTGATCGTTCCTGGCGGTGAAGACGATGGTTCCAGTCTCATCGCTGATGAGGCACTCAGCGATTCGGGTCTGGCGGAGATGGTGGGAGACCGATCGGCCCTTCTGCAAGACGGTGTTGGAGCTGAGGACCTTGACGACGAGGGTGTGGCCGCTAGTGCCCGGCTTGAGCTGATCGACCTTGATGAAGACGGGCTTTCTCAGCCCTGGCTTCGCATTGCTCTGCTCCGATTGTGCTTCCGTCGTCGTGGCCGTCGCCATACCTGAAAAAAGCTTCAAACTTTACCCTAACCCTAACCCTGGAATTTCAGAGAAATGAAATTACGGAAAATAATTTATCAAAAAAATGTGTATCCCTCTTTCGCTCTCTTCGTCTCTTCGCTTGGAGTCTTTTGTATATTTCACTTTCCAAATTCCATGCGTGCGTTTGCGTTTTGATCGATTCAAATTTTTAGTTTTAAGTTTTTATAATAAAATATTTTTAAAAAATATCATATTTAATTTTTTTTATTACAGTAAAAAATTTTAAAAAAATATCACATCTCAATTTAAATTAAAAATTCAAATTCGTGAAGTGAACGGGGCCTAAATCTCATTTATTTTACTGATTTAAATTTATAATTTAAATTTCTTTATAATAAATTTTTTTAAAAATAATTATATTTAATTCTTTTATTATAGTAAAATTTATTTATATAAAGTCACATTCTAATTCGAATTAACGAATTAAATGAGTTCTTAATTTATGAGTATAGAATTACAATTTATAATTTTAATTTTTAAATTTTAAATTTTTTATAAGAGAAAAATACAATAATAAATTAAGAACTATAATCTAAAATCAAATTAAAACCTTCAAAATAAACTGAGCATTAATTTACCAACCATTTTTAAAGCCTATGTAATTAATTTTTTAATAAAAACTTGCTTTTGTGGACCCCACATCACTTTTTTTATTTACTAACGAATTATTTTCTCTCTGTTAAGTTTATTTAGCTCGTTGATTTGAGTTTTTAATTTAAATTAAAATGTGATTTTATGTGAGAATTTTTTACTGTAGCAAAAAAGGTTAGATGTAACTATTTTTGAGAGGTTTTTACTATAAGAAAACTCGAATCAGTAAATTCAACGAGATAAAGGCCCCGTTCATTTCGCCAATTCGAGTTTAGAATTCGAGTTTTGCTACAGTAAAAAGCTCTCAGAAACAGTCACATCTAACTTTTTTGCTACAGTAAAAAGCTCTCACACAAAATCACATCTCAACTCGAATTACAAATTCGAATCAGCGAAATGAACGGGCCCTTTCTCTCTCTTTACTTTTTGTTCATTTGACAGACTGACACCTCCTTTCCTACCTCACTCTTTAATCTCATTACTCTTCCTTTTGTTCTTTTTGTGTGTTTGAGAAAGACATCAATGAACATGAAGAAAATTCATGGGTATTCTAATATTTCTCTATGGGTATTCATATAATTTAGGTTATAATTCATTGGTATGGTTATTTGAATATTTAAGAGCGTGTTCAGCAGCCTCAAAAATTTAAAAAAATGCAACTTGAATTCTAACTTTATTCAAGTTCATGTTCTTTTAAGTTTGAACTCGAGTTTAGGACTAAAACTCGAGTTCAAGTTTTCCTTTCAACTCGAGTTCAAAACTCGAACTCAAATTAATGAACAGTATTTTTTCTATTCTTTAAAATACTATAACTTTTTCATTGTAATCCTGATTGAGATTTTTTTTCTATGCGTTGACAACGAAAAGACGAATAAAACGCCACCCATATACCATATTAAAAATTTTCATCACCATTGAGTTTTTATTAAAATATTATCTCAATATAAATTCAAATTTTGACTCACTCAAACACAAACTCAAAAAGATTCTTATTTCAAATGATAACTCAAATGTACACAACCAAACACAAACTCAAGTTACAACTTCAACTAAAGTTATAACTCAAATTCAACTAAAAAACTACACTCAAGTCACACTCCAAAAGAACATGCCCTAAATATTTTATGAATGCAGTGAAGAAATAGTTTGCTGATGAAATGTGATTTTTTTTTTGCTGCTAATGAAATGTGGTTTTTTATACAATGGATGATATGAGATCATTGTTGCGATTCAAAATTTGAAAGGACTGAGGGCCCGTTTAGTTTGCTGATTTGAGTTTTTAATTCGAGTTGAGATGTGACTTTATGTAAGAGCTTTTTATTATAGTAAAAAAGTTAAATGTGACTGTTTCTGAGAGTATTTTACTGTAGCAAAATTTAAATTTTAAACTTGAATCGGTGAAATAAACGGGACCTGAAGGTACACTGTATTCCTGATTTTTTCCTGTCACATTCTTTAATGAATTTCCATTTTTTTACTTCATTATAAAACATATAAAGATAGCTAGGCCAAATCGTTTTTTCATAATAAGTGCAGCTGCTAAGTCATACATGGGGTTTTAAGTGGCATTCTTATAAATAAATACGAAAAAAATGACTTGTAATTAAGGTAACGTTTGGTTCATGGATTCATAACCATGATTTATGATTTTAATTTTTAAAATTTAAATTTTGTGTAAGAGAAAAACACTGTAGAGAATCATGAACTATGATTCAGAACCAGGGACGGATACATGAAACAAACATCCACTAAGTGAATTTTATTTAGAAATTTGAGAGGACACTTGTTAAGAGATTGGGATAGCATCTGTAAATAGTGTTGGTCTCCGGATCGAATCCGGATGCGGAAGCGTGGTGGTGCGGGGAAGAGGCGGATCGTGTATAACAAAAATTTTCATAAAACTTTTGAGATACTCTATAGATTATATTAATTTATGCACAAATAAATTAATCTCATTAACTTATATATATTAAGAACTCAATCATTAAAAATACCTGGAAGCCGACTCGGATGATAACTTGAGTTCTTTGACCACGAACAGTCCTTGCTCCAATCTTTGTGTTTAGAAAACCAATGTCTTTCACATCAATTTTTAGAATCCACGAAGACGTGTGTCTGGGCACACATGAGACAAAACGGGTTACAATAAACACTCAAATTTCCACAAACATCATCACATGCACGATGTGAAATTTTTTAGAGAAAAATTTTTCCTTCCTTTCTCTCTTGAGAATTTCAGCCAGCCTAAACTCTTAGGGCTGAAAAATTGTTTCCAAAATTTCTATAGAGAAATTTTGGCTACCTCTAAAATTAGGGTAAAAAACCATTCTGAAAATTGTCTCAAAAATAGTATTTATAGAGTAGAAGTCAAACTTCTAGAAGGAATCCAATCTCTATCTCCAATTTGAATTTCGAACCAAAATTCTCCTCTATCCCTTATCCCTTGTGGCCGGCCATGCTAGGGATTCCCATCCCTGTGTGTGGCGCCAATACTGGATAGGGAAGGAAGAGAAAATCATCCTTTATCCTGTAGTCCAAT